TTTTTTTAAGTTGTAAAGCCGTATATATATATATATAGCCATATGAATTTTACAAGTTGTATAGATGTTTGAATATGTGTTCAGTGTAAATGTAAAAAAAAATGTGTCACTATATAATAGGATATGTATACAAATAAACACTTTCAATATTTCTTGTACTTGTTATATTTCCCCCTACATCTTCCTCCTCTCCGCTGGCCATAGTAAGTCCGGTCACGATTTTGCTGCTGCTGTCCAGATTTCCTTCTTAGAGTGACATTCTACACACTCTACAAGGTTGAAAACGTGTTAATTAATAATTATGAATTAATTATATTAATACATCTTTTCCCCTTCCATTTCTGATGGAATTTGGGTCCTGACACTTCTAAGACCCTCTTCCACTGTGACGACCATAAACTCTGGTGGGCCGTTGCTGCTGCATACTTTAATTGAAACTAAATATTTTCTAAATAAAGTATATAGCTACAGAATTTCAGCCCCTCTTTCGCTTAGAATCGCCACCACTTTCTCCATCTCCTGCTTGCATGATTCTTGCCACTTCTTATAGTCAGCTTCAAGGATGGCTACTCTATCTGCAGTATCTATAAAATTCGCAATCATCCAGTGTTGGCTATAATTCGACATTTACCATCAGCCATCACCGTCATTGCTAATCCGATGCTCAAAACTGAGCTTGGTTCTATCTTTTAAACTATTAGTTAAATATTTTTATTGTGAGCGACAGCCTAGACTTTTGTGTAACATAACCGAAATCGATCATCCAGTGGTAAAACAAAAACTGTGATCCTATCAGCAGTGTCGTGTCCGAAAAGGCAGGAACCCTATACATAAAGAAATGATACGCGACATCAATACAGTTGCAACAATAAGTTAATAATCACTATGGTACATGTGTCATGCCTGTCATATAAACATGAAATTATATCCACGATCTGCACACAGCTATATACGTATGCATGTAACAGATTATGAAGCTCCATATAAGTCAAAGACTACATTAAAACGATTGGGTGTCAACGGTTATACAGCCGCTGTTATTTGCTAAATACTCAAATAAACTTAAAGACTACCCTACACAATCTGCAATGATGCGTTTAGTAATATTACCTTGGTTTTAATAAAATACTCACAACCATTTTCGCTGTAGGCGGACGGGAAAATATTAAATAATAATGAAGAAGAACAAATGGGCGATCACTTTTATAAACCACTGCGGTGGTTTATGATACTGATGCTCATAGAGAAAGTATATCATAGCTCGCTATAGTACTGTTTTAAACAATGTTCAAACATATCAATGATCTACAGAAGTTGAGTACGTTATGCCAAAATGATTTTGGATTTTCATCAAGTTGTCACGTGTCCGGTCATGCTCTATCTGACGACCATGCTTCTTCCCAATAACCCTGCAGCATTACGACGAGCTTGTAAAATTTACGAGGGAACAATCGACTATTTTGTTGAAGCCGAATGTGCAGAATCCGAGTTTAAAACAATACCATTGTGTACGGTTTAATGTACCTCTCTGTATGTCAGGAAACCATCAAAGCTGAACATGAACCTATTATCCAGGCACGGCAGCTGTCGTGTTTTGCTGAAACCATTTAACCAAATAACTCCTTTAGAGGACTATCAGAGAGAAACATTGTTTCAAGATGTCGTGATCACAAATTTATTTTTGAGGATGCTTTACGGCAATAAAGTTTATTAACTTTTATAAAGTTGTTTGGAAACTTATATCTTTTGTGTCAGGTTAACAGTCAGTCTAAAGTATGAAAAATGTGACTGTATATGAAAGTTCAGGCGTTTTTGAGTAAAATTGTCAGATACTTTTTTCCAAAGAATTTGAGGATGATAAATCCATTTTTGGTGTCTGCCAAGTTGTAGCTGTCAAATTAACCTTTGAAAAGCAATAAAACAAAACGGTCGCCAGAAAACATGACGAGAGACAATTTGCATATTAATGTTAAGATAAAACTTTTCAAGCACTGTTTTCTCAATGATTCAGTGGTACCAAATCCCAGTTTCATGTTCATTAAATCCTAGGGTAGCGTTTTGACATCCAAACTTTATCCAAATATAATGGCCGCCAAAAAAGAAGAGCTCCACCATTATTCCAAGATCATAATGCCATATAATTTGTTGAGAGCTATCTTATTACATCTTTGATGAAAAAGCTTTAATAAAGATTCGATTATACTGTCTTATCTAGAACTTTTTATTTTTTCAGGCTAAATGAAATGCCGCCAAATAATACTGCAAAATAATATTGTTATTCAAGGACGTTTATTTTTTTATAGACTAATGTTCAAACAAGGTTTTAAAGTAATTTAGTTCTTAGCACATTTTTTTTTTACATGAGTTTTACCTGATTAAAGTTCTCTCATAAAGAAAAATTACTTATGGAAATAAATGTCAAGACTATGTGTTATAACATACATACATACTTAACTTTGGAATAGAGCTTTGACCAGCAACAGAATTACTGTGACAAACATAAATTCCTCAAGTTTTATGAAAAATAAACAAAAAAGTTGGCATCGTCTGACCTAGAAGTAGATAGTGATTTTAACATGAGAGTCAGGCAGCAAGCATTGTGGTATATCCACGGGGTACTTATGTCCTGGTGTTGCCTTTGCTCATTTCCACGTGATTTCATATTCCAAACCTAGTCTCTAAGCTGAGACAAATAAGGAGAGGAAATATATCACAATTCACACCATTGTGGAGCAACTGCTATTTGAACAAGTTGTACTGGAAACCATGCCCGCAATTAATGCTCTACTGGTAGCGACCCCATCTCCTACTTGGTCTGGCATAGCAAGAAATCAGCCTAACGATCTGCTGAAATACCTATGTGAGGGTGGCCTTCATGAACAACCTACCAAAGATGCAGAACTGTTCATCTACAAAGAATACAATGTGCCAAATACCACCATTATGAACAAAGTATGTCCAATCATGTATGTCAAATCCCATACATTGGAGACCCTTCCAAAAAGAAGTGATGCCTTAATGCTTTGCAGCTAACTTTTAAATTTCCATAATGCTGGCTGAGCATACATTTGTTTCATTTTTCTGAATAAAGATGTTCAACATAAATCTAGTCTTTTAGTTTTCATAAGATTTGTGGGATTAATGTATGTCACGGTAATTCTGCTACTGTTCAAGTTCATATCAAAGTTAAGTATATATGTATATAGCATAATTCAAAATCTTTATGGTGGAACTTTATTCAGGTAAAAGATAATGTGCCAAGAATAAAATTAGTTGGGACCATGTTTGAAGATTAATTCATGAAAAAATAAACGTCCTTGAATAACAGTATAGTTTTGCAACATTACTTTGAGGTATTGTAGTTCTTTCAGCTTGAAAACTAAGAAGTTGTGAATGAGACAGTGTAATTACATCTGTATTAAGGTGTAATAAAGTAGCTCTCAACAAATTAAATGTCATTATCATCTTGGATAATGGTGGTGCTTCTACAATTTTGGTGCCCATTATGTTTGGGTGAAGTTTTAAGGTGAAACTTTGCCTTAGGATTTAATGGGCATGAAATTTGGATTCAGCATCCTAACATTATAGAGATAAAAGTGTTTGAAAAGTTTTACCTTAATAATGGCATCTAAAATTGACTCTCGTCCTGTTTTCTGGTGAACATTTTGTTTTTCTGAATTTCAAAGTTTAAGCTTGACAGTTACAGTTTAGCAGACAGAAGAAATTGATTCAACCCCTCTGAATCTCTTAGAAAAAAACTATCTACCAACTTTTACTCAAATGCGCTTGAGGATGTTGAATCTTTTTGAAAATCTGACTAGTCCATAACATTGAATTTCAAATTATATCTACATTTTAGATACAGGTGATCGTCAGTAGTATGCAAAAAATGCAAGAGATTTCTAAAAATGCAACATATATTAATATGAATGACGTTTTAAATCAAAAGAAGGCCTAGTTAGAAAGTTGGAGATGAGTACAATATTAGAACTGTCAGCTAAACTATCATGTTGTGTCGTTATTAAAACGTACTGAACAAAAGCAAAATAAATAATTGTGATAGACAAGATTTTTAAATAAAGCATAATGAACACGCTTTATAATAAAGTATAAGAAAACAAACTTTATTTTGTTAAATTAAATGACATCTGATAATATCGTGGAAACGCATGAGGATTCCTTCGAATATCAAATTTATTCTCTTTTTTTGTAGGCTGTAAGGAAAAACAGAACTGCGAGAGTTGGAGAGGTTACCTGGAAGATAGAAAACTTATTTTTAATTCATTTATTGCTAATTTGTACACAGGTAAACAGAAAACAAGAAAAATGATTTTAAGATACTCTCCAGCACAATTGAGAAGTACAAACAATAAATGTAACTCACACAAGTTTTTATTGGTTGTACATTGTAATACTTTTGTTTGTTTTATTCATAACGTTTCACCTGATGGTACTGATAAACCTAGTGAAACGTTGTGAATAAAATAAACTAAACTTTCATTATGTACAACCGCCAAAAGCTTGTGTGAATATTATAGAGCAGAACACTAATCCTCGATGTTTTTAGTTTATATATAACCTAAGATCTTGAAACAGTTTAATAAGTGTGCTCTATGTTATTTTACAAATTAAACAGATTGTTTTAACCACTGTAAATTATCCAGCCTTCTATGACTCGTCTCAAAGGATTTACCTGAGTTTGTGAATGGGATCTTCGAATATTTTACCACCAACCATAACCCCGGCCATATCCGTAGCCGCCATAGCCTAGTCCACGGCCATATCCGTAGCCGCCATAGCCAAGTCCACGGCCATATCCGTAGCCGCCATAGCCAAGTCCACGGCCATATCCGTAGCCGCCATAGCCAAGTCCACGGCCATATCCGAGTCCATGGCCATATCCTAGTCCATAGCCATATCCGCCATAACCGAGACCACGACCGTATCCGTATCCTCCGTAGCCAAGTCCGCGACCATAGCCAAGACCGTATCCACCATAGCCACCTAAATATCCGCCCATTACGGCGGCTACACCCAAAAGCAAGACGACGAGGGACAGCTGAAATAACACAATTACATTAGAAATACAGATTACGTTGATAAGAATGTAAAAAGTGTTGCATATTCTGAAATATTGAATCTAATTGGAAAACACTTGATAAAAATGAAGTAAACTCTAATGTATATTGAAAATATAACACTAAACTCTAGAAACAACAGAATATTGAGAGGTTGATGTTGTGTTCACAATAACTGAGAAGAATATGTAGACAGAATGAATATGTACTTACAGCTTTCATTATGTGAAGTATCGGAAAAAGAGCAGTAAGAAATCACAGGCTTGTTGAGCTGCTGTGGTACTAAACGTTTGTGCTACCTCTCGACCTTATATACTCTCAAAAGTGGGAGTGGTGAGGGCAGCCAGTTAAAATAATATGTATGTATAGGGGAGGTTGACATAAGGACAGGCAATGAGAGGCCAAGTTGATTATAAACCACAAACTACAATATGTTGGGAAACACCACGAAAGCTTGTTCCATGTGTTACATTGAAAGTAAAGATCCCGGTCAAGACGGGCTTATCATTTCGACCTGAATTACGAGCTTTGTACCAGCACGCACTTGTTGCCGCCAGGGGAATATATCATAGAAACACATAGCGCATGAGAACATTCTGTGGATTAAATTGAGAACAAGCAAGATTAAATTTTAAAATTTAGCGATAGTTAACTCCGCGTTCCTGGACTGATCAAACTGAAAAGTAGAGAACAGAGCATTGCTAATCACACAGAAATGTTTCTCTGTATGTTGTTACACATAAACGAATTGAAAAGTAATGAACAAATTCACTGCTAATAAACCAGAAAGTGTTTTTGTACGTTTAAATAGGAAAGTAGCGAAAAATTGCACTGTCAATAAAAACGTAGTTCTATATGGTTTTGGTGCGATGAAGTTGAAAAGTATGAAACAAATAAATATCTACTAACACATACACAGTTCTCGATATGCTGTTGATGTGATGAAACTTAAAAGTATTGAGCAGTCGCATTAACAATAAAACAAACACATTTCTTTGAATTACTGTTGTGATGAAATTGAAAGTAGCTACACGAGTGTTATCTGCGCTAGCCGTCCCTAATTTAGCAGTGTAAGACTAGAGGGAAGGCAGCTAGTCATCATTACCCACCGCCAACTCTTTGGCTACTCTTTTACCAACGAATAGTGGGATTGACCGTCACATTATAACGCCCCCACGGCTGAAAGGGCGAACATGTTTGGTGGGACGGGGCTTCGAACCCGCGACCCGCAGATTGGGATTTGAGCTCACTAAAAACCTGGCCATGCCGGGCCTAAAAAAAGTAGAAAACAGACGCATCTATTATATATAAAACCCAGTTTCTGTCTTGTTCACACTCATTTTTTGGTAATACTCAACAATATACATCATCGCCTAGCAACAAAACTATCACCTGATATTGTTGGTAGGCCAAAATGGCGTTTATGTTAAATGCGTAGTATACAGTCTATACATGTTGATTGTCCTAGCACCGGCGAGGGGGGGGGGGAGTATTGCAATGGGGTTCGTTCGTGTGGGTCTATCTGTCTGTGTTTCCGCGCGCTTATTTCAAAAACTGATAAACCGATGTACACGAAAATTTTACACAAGATGGGAAGTCAATATAGGATAGTCCTCCCGTAATTTAGTCCGGATCCGGTTTCTGGATCTCTTTGAAGCTTTTTTTATAAGGGGGAGATAGGGCATTTTCGCGGTTTGGGGTTAATAACTGTGTAAAGTGTGGTTGGATTTGTACCAAACTTAATGGGCCCGTTAAGTTTGAGGCTCCTCATCCCACTACAAAAAATGGTCCGGATCGCTGATCATTCTGGATCTGAAAAGGATTTTCTGAGTTTTCGAAGGTGAAATTTGACGTTATCTAATATAAACGCATGCAATCTCGAAAAGGAGCGGTGGGGTGAGAGTATGCAATCTCTCTTACTGCTCTTGTTAAAAAAGTTTGTTTAGCTATTATTGGATGTTGTTGTGGGGAGAATAAATCCACTATACACTTGAAATAAGAACCCAAAGGTAGAGATTTTGAGTGAATTATTTATTTTTGTTTAACTTTATTACAACATTTCAACCACTCGAGTGGCCATCATCGGATAACTGTCGTCTACAGAGGCATCGCTAGGCACTGGCACGCGGGGCCAGTGCCCCGATTCTATTTGACAGTTCCCCAAATCCCCATTTATTGTCTTGAAAAATCAGAATAGAAAACCATGATCGATATCATACTAACAACGTCTCTGGCCGTCTATTGTGTGAAATATTGCTTGGGCATTTTGTTCCAATTTAAAAAATATATAGGGTGACATCTGTGTTTTGATTTAAATTAGGTTTTAGTTCACGAATAATTGATATTTTTTTATTAATGTTGTTCTCATTACATAATATTTTAAGGTTGCTGATGTTAATTGGATGCTTATTCATTGTGTTTTTTTTATAAACGTGTGATGGGGGATTGTTTTGTTCTTTGATCCTAATGTTTATGTTGCGTCCCGTTTCGCTAATGTAAGTGCTGTCGCATCGATCGCGTTGATGCTAGTAGATACTTCCGTCATTGAAGTTGTCAGAATAAACCTTCCTTAGATAACCTTTCATTTGAGTGCTCGGTTTTTCAATAAAAATAACTTTACCGTTTATATTGTATTTTTTGATACATATTTCCAAATGTTTATGATGTTTTTTGGTTACATAGCCATGACAGGGTAAGATAACCATAAGTGTTTCTGAGTTAGTGTGTGCATTTTGATTTCTTCATGGAGTCTATGTTGTTTTCCCTTTCGTTTTTCCTTTATTGAATGTGTTTTTATATTTCGCTAAGGTTCTAGGGATAATATGATTAGGGAAATGATATTTGTTAATAAATGTATCGGATATAGATATGGGCCACAAACCTACGGGTTCGCTAGTTATGTTAGTCTTATTAACTTTTTATCACTGCATTCTAGGCCTGGCATAATGTCTTATGACATGTATAATTGGTTATAATCATGCTCTGCCAGCTGGTCAAAGGTGTTCACTTCATAACGATTATTGTGATAGAAATGGTTTGTTTGCTCATTATGCAATAAAGTGTTTTTTTTTTTACTATTATGTGATGTTATAGAGTGTTCTTTACTATTATGGGGGGTGTTATAGAGTGTTCTTTACTATTATGGGGGTGTTATAGAGTGTTTTTAAACTATTATGGGGTGTTATAGAGGGTTTTTAACTATTATGAAATGTTATGGAGTGGTTTTCTTAACTATTATAAGGTGTTATAGATGTTATGGCTTATATATTATGTTTTTAGCCAGAAAAATGTGACCTGATATTGTTAGTCTATGCACTGAAAGTAAAACATTTAGTAATCAATGTTTGCTCTGAAACGTTTAGTGACCACAGACTAACCTGAAACATTTAGTGGGGAATGTCCACTCTGAAAAGTTTAGTAACTTATAATAATTAAATTTCATTTACTTAGTTTAGTTCACACCATAGTGATTATTGTTTGTGCAACTGATGATAAATAATACCTAAACTACTACTACGTCGTATCCCAGCCGGCCTGATGAGTTCTGGTATTAACGAAACGCCTCGCCGACACTAATTATGGCGGATAATGTGGTTGGCATACATATTCTTGTTTGCTTTCAATCATAGGTTATTGAAATTGTTAAAAGAAAATCTTTGTTTTCAAAACATGTTCAATACACGAAGTCATAAATAAGACTAATGTTAATAGAAAAAGCACAACAGAGCTTTCGGTACTTGTTTTAACCATTGTACAAATAAACTAACTAATAGTTGAAGTACCCGTCCCCTGGACGGAAGTTATGTAAATTCGTGATTAATAAAAGGTTATCTTAGGACATGAAAAGCTGCTTCCCTTATACGTAATTGTAAAAAAATGCAAAAACGCCCATAAAAACTGCACATCACAAAATGTGAAACAGCAAGTGTGCATGTACTTCCGCACGGATCCAACAAAAATGCATGTCAAATTTGGTGAAGATCCATCAATAGAGGTGAAGTAGTGGTTTAAGAAAACGCAAAACTGAAAATTTGTATGTATTTCCCCACGGACTCAATGAACCTCCATATCAATTTTGGTGAAGATCCATTTATAGGGGGCAAAGTAGTGGTAAAAAACGCAAAAACACTAATAAAAAACCGCAAAACGCAAAATGCAAAACTGAAAATTTGTATGTTCCCTCACATGGACCTAATGAACCTCCATGCCAATTTCAGAACTTATGCGAAGTAGTTATATGAGCATACAACAAATGGTACTATTATATATATATATATCTACAAAGGTTGAGTAGTTATATCAAAACTATTTTGGAGCCCACCGTGTATTTAACTCCATGTCGCTACTTTGAGTAATATTCTATCTGACGAATGTGACCTTGACATTAACCCAGTAATATTTGATTCTTAAGTTAAAGGGCCCGGCATGGCCAGGTGGATAAGGCGCTCGACTCACAATCTGAGGGTCGCGGGTTCGAATCCGCATTCCACCAAACATGCTCGCCCTTTCAGCCATGGGGGCGTTATAATGTGACGGTCAATCCCACTATTCGTTGGTAAAAGAGTAGCCCAAGAGTTGGCGGTGGGTGGTGATGACTAGCTGCCTTCCCTCTAGTCTTACACTGCTAAATTAGGGACGGCTAGCGCAGATAGCCCTCGTGTAGCTTTGCGCGAAATTCCAAAACAAACAAACAAACCTTAAGTTAAGGACCTTATGAGTCTATTATTTAGGGTTGGTTTTTCATTCCTGATAAAGATACTTTTAGTTATTTTCCTATCAACGGAATCAAACTATTTCTGTTATAAAAGGAATATTGGTAATGTGTTATTCGTTGTGGTAAGAGGCGTAGTGTGTGAACCAAAAGGTTCATATTCACCTTTTGTCTTTGCATCTCTAATTGTTCCATGGTTCTTTCCCATGTTACACTGATATAATTTTGTTCAGACAGTGTACATAATAGCCAATATACAAAGTTTTTTTATTTGAGATGTGCATTTATCGTCCCGTCCCGAAGAGCAGGATAAAAATTGTTTTTCCAAAAATGTGATTTAAGCGTACGTCTGACTTTTCTGCAAGGCTCATATTAAAACCACTGCTCTTTTTTAATTTTTAGAAATGATTATACGACTTAGGTTGTCATTGACGAACGGTGTTCATAAAGTGAAAATTGGTATTTTTGGGACGACTTTTCCTTTCCACGTTTATTTCTAGCTTTGTTAATGATGCAGGCTGAGTAACCATTTCGTTCAAGTTGTTTAATTTCATGTATACTTCTTTGTTCGGTAATGTTATCAGAGGAAATAGAATGAACTTCCAAAAATTCCGAGGAAAAAATTGATTG